ACATTGGCTCATATGGGGAATGGATCTTACAAACCAGATGGCTCCTGTACCTATTCCCTTAGGCCAGCTCCCACAAGAAGCAGACAATGAAATGGAGACACACACGGGAAGTTATTTTAAGAGTTCTCATGAAAAGTGAAGGGAGCACAACTGGGCCAGGGGAGGAGCTAAACTGCAATATCATTGAAGATGTAATCCTCAGGTAATCCAGCAGGACTTCCTTGGTGGCTGGAATAGCCCTGTGTGTGTGTGTGTGTGTGTGGTACTGGATTTGAACTCAGAGCCTTCACCTTGAGCCACTCCACTGGCTCTTTTCTGAGAAGGGTTTTTTTTGAGATAGGGTCTCATGAACTATTTGCTTGGGCTGGCTTCAAACTGTGATCCTCCTGATCTCTGCCTCCTGACTAGCCAGGATTACAGGCATGAGTCACTGGCGCCTGGCTGGGATGGCCCTTTGAAGCTGTGCAAAGTTAGGCAGGGCTGCTCCCTCAATAGGGGCATAACCTTGGGCAAGATGGCTCCCTTCCACTGAAAGCAGTTCCCAGAGAAAGATGGAGCTGTGAGCCAGGAGCAGCCAGTACTCCAAGACAACAGGAGGAGTGAGTCCTACCAAGGTACCTGGGCAGCATATCCAGACTTCACTATACACACTCACTTGGTCTCATTTTTCTTCCCTACACTGTCACAACCAACACTTCCTTGCTGTCTTTCCTGTCCCACAACTGCTAGCAAAGCTAAACTCACTCTGGAGGGCACCTGTTGAGTGTTGTAAAATGTTCTGTTAAACCCGTGGTTATCTTGTACCTGCCCAGATCTGGAATCACATGCTCCTCCAAAAAGCCCTACTTCCTGTTTGTGATACTTAGAGATTACAATCTGGAAAAGAGCGTGGCTCAGTACAAATGAGTAAGTCACGATCTCTGGGTCTTTGCTGTGGCCAGAGTAAGCACTGCTACTTTTTTCAGATAAAATATGGCAAAAGTTGATACTGACATTTCCAATTTAATTCAAGACAACAGGGTATTCTTGATGTCAGCTGTTATTCATCTTTATGTCCTTTTTCTCATGCCAGAAGTTCAGATTCTCATTGATATCAACAAATTTTCTTATTTGCTTTATTGTACAATGCACATATGCTTCAGAATAACAATATCAATACTACAGAAAACAATGTGGTTAGTGAAAAGGATTCTTAATGGGCTGTGAGTGATCCAAGTGGTAGAGTGCCTGCCCAGCAAGCGTGAGCCCCTGAGTTCAAGCCCCACTACCAAAATAAATATTTCTCTTTGTCTTGCTTTGTTTTATTTGTCTGTAAAGATAAACCTCACTGAGGATGTACAGTCAAATCACTGTGTGTGTTTTAAACTAATAAGAAATAATGCTCCTTGAATAGAACTCAATTTATAGTTAAATTCATGTATTTCATTTTGTGTTGATATTTAGGGTTTCAGTTTATTTTTGATAATTATGTAAACTATTTAAATGGTTTTAAAATCAATTCTATAAATAAAGATATAGAGCTCCTTCCATCCTGTTCCTGCCCTCTCTCATAAAAACCAAAGCATGTTTTTGATTTATTTTTCCATACCTTATAAAACACAAATCAAAGACCAAAGACCTTTCCTGAAATGAATGGTAGCATATCATACACACATCTCTACACTTTGGTTTTTGCTCTCAGTCTCAGGAACCAGGTGGAACAGTACTCAGGGCTCGTTCCTATTCTTGGAGTAGCTGTATCAGTCTATTTTTGTGTGGAAAATCCTTAGTTTTATTCAATCAGCTCCAATGAATGGCTATTCAGGTTTTCTCCAGTTTTGTGCTAGTACAAACAGTGCCATGATTAATAGTGTGAGTGATGCTGAGGAAACTGGATATTCACATGCAGAAGATTGAAACTTGACCTCTTCTCTCACCCTATATAAAAATCAACTCAAAATAAGCCAAAAAATGTAATCTCCAAGAACTATGAAGCTACTGGAAAAAACAAAGGAAACACTTTGAGACATCACTAAAGGCAATGTTTATTGGATTAAGACCCCAAAATCACAGGAAGCAAAAGCAAAAACAGACAAATAGGATTATGTCAAGCTAAGAAACTTCTGCACAGCAAAGAAAACAATTTCAGAGTGAAGACAAAACTTACAAAATAGGAAACATTTTTGCAAGCTATTCATCTGATAATGACTAATATGTAGGGTATTTAAGAAACTCAAACAAAAGATAAATATTCCAATTAAAAATAGGCCAAGGAAACTGGGTGTGGTAGTTCACACATTTAATCCCAGCTACTCACCATCTTGAGAGGACCTCATCTGTTGTTTGAGACTGACCTACTGTAGGAACAATCACAAGTCAGGAAGCCTGGGAATACCCAGCTATGGTGCCTGGATAGGAGATGTCCATGAGAGGCAGTTGTGGAAAGGAGAAAGGGTTGGACATAGACCCAATGAGAAGGTTAGGCAGAGAGGAACTCAGGCTATTCGACATCCTTAGCCATAAAGGGGATGCAGATGAAAACAACACTGAGATTCCATCTCCCCCCAGTCAGAGTGCCAGTCATCAAGGAAACAAACAACAACAAATGCTGATAAGGATGCAGGAAAAAGGAACTCTTAGAACTTCCATAAGAACCTGCTGTACCACTCTTGGGCACATACCTGAAGGAACCAGAGTCAGCATGCAATAGAGATATCTGTACACACCCATGTTTATTATGGCACTATTCATAAGAGCTAAGCTATGGAATCAGCCTAGGGCCTCAGTGGGAGAGACAAGATGACAGATGATAGATGATTTAATGGAGTATTTTTCAGTCATAGAGAAGAATGAACTATGTCATTTGCAGGAAAATAGACATGCTGGAGACCATCGTGTTAAGTGAAATGAGCCCAACTCAGAAAGACAAATATCATGCATTTTCTTTCATATGTGGAATATAGACCCACAAACATATGACATAGATGTAGGAGGGAGACTGATTCAGAGGTGGTCCCACTGGAGGGGGAAAGAAGAAAAGGGGTGACGGTGGGGTGAATATTATCAAAATAGATTACAGGAATGTATGCACATGGCATAAAGACACCCACTAAAAACTGTAAAAATCAAAAGGGGCAAGGGTATGGTGGGTAGGAAAGAATAATAAAAGGGATGAACTTGATCAAAGTATAATACATCCATGCATGAGACACTACGGTGAAGCCCCTTTGTGTGATTAATACATGCTAATAAAAATGAAATACACATGTGCTTCAACAGAGTTGAACTCTGATAACACTGAAGTTAAAGAAGCCAGACACAAAATTCACATATTATGTTATTCCATTTATATGAAACGTCCCTAATAGGCAAATCCATAAATACAGAAAGTAAATTGTTTGCCGAGGACTGGGAGAGGAACTGTTATGGGGTGTCTTTTTTAGGGGTGACAAATTTTTGGAATTGGGCAGAGGTGATAGTGGCACAACTTCATGAACACACTGAAAACCATTGAATTGTTCACTTTAAAAGGGGGGATTTAATGGTAAGTGAAATATATGCCAACAAATTCTTTAAAAAGAAGGGCTCTTACAAAACCCAATGATGAAAATGAACCATAAGTGTAGGAATGAAACTCAAGCCTCTGTGTCACCAGGCTAGGGAGGAATGTTGACAAAATTGAGTTTGGGAATACATGTGGGGAAAAGGTGCCTCTCAGCCCTTGCTCGTGTCAGTATAAACTGACACATGCATTTGAATAGGTAACTTAGTAGTACCTATCGAAGGAGATAAAGCACTTACCCTGTGATCAAGGATTTTCATTTGTAGCAATCTCAAATCAATGAGCTGGCAGGTTAGCATCAGTGAACGCTCTTTCCTATCATAAAGGCAATAACCATAAGGAATAGTCATAAATTATGCAGCAAATTCCTGCAGCCAAATTCAGCTCTTACTCTGGCTTCTTTTTGGAAATATAATGTGTTTACTATGAACATGAAGTTTCTGCTCTTTTAATCTCCTTACGCAAACTACATAGAGAGAAAGTAGTATTCTCTCCTAAATATGGGATCTTGTTTCTAGGGATCCTGACTATCTCCTGGCAAAACGGTTAATGAATCTACTTACAGTTACAGCTTTCTGTTTTGCAAAGTAGGCATTCTACTGCTTGAGTCCCACCTCCAGTGCATTTTGCTCTCATTATTTTGGAGATGGGGTCTGGTGAACTATTTGCCCAGGCTGGTTTGATCGTGATCCTCTGGATCTCAGCCTCCCAAGTAACTAGGATTACAGCACCCAGATCTAGTCTCTTGATGAAAGAAATGTGCAGAAGAGGGCAAGAGAAAGAAACCCTGAGCCTTTACCAAATTCCATGAAGCTGCCAAAAAGCTAAGAAGTATTCTGAGTGACTTATATGTGAAGCCTCATGACAATAAGCAGACTGACAAGGTCAATGATACTGAAGGAAATGCCTCAGGGAACTTGTATATTTTGCTCCTTTCTTTCTCTGAAACTGATGTCTCTTTAAATACACCACTGCTATTATTTGTAGACACTGAGTTTGTTCATCAAATAAAGAGTTCTTTCAATGCATAGAACACCTCCAAAGAGGAAAATCATGTCAACCTACTTTTCTAATTAGTCAATGAAAATACACCCCAAAGTCAACTTATCAAATTGTAGCCTAAGTACAAAGCAAGGTGAAATAAAATCTAAAAAGAAAACCTACCACCTAACCTGCAAGGTGGCAAGTGACAGCTAAGCCTCCAGGATGCCTATGGCATCACTGCCTCTGTGGAGCTGATCCCAGGGAAGGAAGCATGGTGTAATCATTAGCCCACTGGCCACCCCCACCCAGGTGTCCTCCTCCTCCCTACCCAACATGGTGAGATGTGGTAGGAGGCCAGGGATTATGACATAAGCAAATGCTGAACCAGGTAAATGCCAGCCATGAGCTTCCCAGTAGGGACACCACCTGTGAAAGCCTCATAAACAGCCAACTTCCTGCAACCCCCTCACCTGAGGGAGGAGGGTGCCCTCCATTGGAGAACCGACAGCAGGGTTCTAGCAGAAGCAGCACTGAAATTCTAGCGACCAGCTACAAATCATGTAGGCGCCATGGAGACTGCTATGTGCGTCTGTTCGCCATGCTGTACATGGGAAAGATGCTGCCCTCAGTCGTGTTCCTGTCTCTGCTGCAAGTTCATCTTCACCTCGGAGCGGAACTGCACCTGCTTCCCCTGCCCTTACAAGGATGAGCGTAACTGCCAGTGTTGCCACTGCACCTGTGCCGAGAACCCCAACTGCCACTGGTGCTGCTGCTCCTGGGCCAACGACCCCAACTGCAAGTACTGCTGCACGGCCAGCAGCAACATCAAGTGCTACTACTACGAAAGCCGCTGCTGCCGCAATGCCACCTTCACCTTCCGCAGGGGTCGCCTCCGAACCATCCACACCGCGTGAGTGCTGGGGACCAAACATGGGGCCACGCCCACTCAGCAAAACATAGGGCCTCATGCTAGCTGTGGGGTCCTCCAGGACAGGCCATTGCTTCCTTGAGTCCATTTCTTTTTCTTTTGATAGGACTGGAGTTTTGAACTCAGGGCTTCATGCTTACTAGGCAGGTGCTCTTATCACTTGAGCCACACCTCCAGCCTTTTCTGCTCTGGTTATTTTGGAGACAGGGTTTTGCTTTTTGCCCAGGATCATCCTCTTATTTTACACTTCCCACAGTCACTGGGATGACAGGTACACAGCACCACACCCAGCTTTTTCTGTTGACATGGGGGCAGGGGGTCTCATGAACTTTTTTGCGCAGAATGGCCCTGCACAACAATCCTACCAATCTCGGCCTCACAAGTAGCTAAGATTACAGGTGTGAACCACTGGTGACTGACCTGAGTCCATTTCTTTATCTGAAAAAAGGAAACCAACAATGTTGTGATAATTAAGTGTATCCTAGACAGTCACCAGACCTGTGTAGACCCAGCTCCAAAGCCAAGCTCCATTAACTATGTGAACACCTATTGCAGCCCTCTGAACCCCAACTCTCTCAACCGTGTGAAACAGCAATAGCTAATACTTAGTACATAAGCAATTTTCCAGGCACTCTGCATGTGACCCCACCTAACACCCCGTGCCCATTGGAACCTTGGAGAGGTTAAGTTTCCTGGGATCACACAGCTAGCTGTAAGGTGCATAGTCAGGATTTGAACACAGAACCATTTCTCTTCACTTTAAAATGATGTCCTGCAAAATGGAGGCAATGATACCTGCCATTATATGGATTTCCTTATGGTCTCTTAAGGGATACAAAAATACAAATTGTTCTTCATCTTCATCTTATGAATTTATGACATCCACAACATTTACTGAAAAAGTAAGAACCTCTATGGGCCCCATTTGACACTGACACACATATAAGAACCCATGAAGCACCCATGAAGTATGTGCACCGTAAGACGACAAGAAAGAGAACAATGGGAGGCAGGTTGGAAGGCTTTCCAGGCTGGAATAGACATTCTGTAAGCACAGGTCTGGTGATGTCAAGGGAAACACATGATTCATCTTACAATTAAGCACTTAGGAGATGCTTAGTAAATCTTACTGTCTATCCCTGGTCCTCTCGTGGTCTTGCATGGGTAGAGAATCCAGGGGTTCTGGGTGCAAGTCTAAGTATTGTGAAAAGTAGTGACCACACTACTGTCTCCTATCAACTGCCCCATTCTCTGCGTATGAGCAGTGAAGTCATTGAGTCCCTTTCAACTGGAGAGGGATGGAGTTAGTGCTAGGGGAAGAAGCCTCAGGAAGCAGTGACTCCCAAACTCTGCTTGCATTGAAATGTCCTGGGTAATTTTTAAAAGATACTCATACTTGGCCTCCACCCCTCGAACATTCCACTGTTTATTAGTCTGGGATGCAACCTGTGTATCAGAATTGTAGAAGCCCCCCAGTTCAGGTGATTCTAATGTGCACAGTAGCCTGGAGGGACAAGGAATGGGGACTTGCCAGTCAGGTGAAACAGTAAGAAGCCAGGTGCAAGAACAGACCTGAATTTGGGAGAAAAGAGGCCATTGCAGAGGGGCAGAGGCAGGAGGCCTCAGCAGGAAGACAAAGCTGCTGGGCTTGGTATCTGCTTTGGCATCAAACCATGGCCCTGAGTGCCCTTTCACAGTTGAGTCTTTCAGAGGCAGAGTGGGATTGCTATGCAGGTGCCAGGAGGCACCTCTCTCATGGATTCTGAACCCTAGCCTCCCTTTCCCCTCATTGCCACCCTGCTTGGTCTCTTGCCATCCTGTCTCACTTTAGCCTCACACATGCCTCTCAGCCTTACTCTTTTCCTTACTTTCCACCATAGCTCCCTGTCTCTTGGCCCTGAACTCACTCTCTCTTCCCAATTCCTTCTTTCTGAATCCTTACACTGTATCTCTCTATGTTATATCCTGATTCTTTTAATCAAACCAAAGAAGTCCACCAGCCACCACATGTACAACTGACCTGCACTTCCAAGTGCGTGTTGGGAGTCTAGGGAGAATGCTGGGAAGCAAAGAGGAAACAGAATTGAGACAGTGATGCTGGCAGGCTTGGAGGCCAGCATCCAAGTCCGAAGGGATGAGCTCTCCAGGTGCCTGAAGGTACCCAAAGGGGCAGTCTCAGCCACCACAGGGCCACTCTAGTGCAGTACGCTTGGGAAGCACCTTTGACTATGATCTGAGGCATAGGCCCCTGGCCAAAGGAGTGGGAAAGGAGGCAGAGATCAAGGGAAAGCAGGTAGGCAAAAGCACAAGTGAACACAGCCCCAAGGTCAAGACCAATACCCAAAAGATAGGAACAGCCACAACTTGTATAACTGTTGATACTTGCATTCCCATACCCAATTCATTCATTTTTATAAACTGCTTTTGCTCTGATTTTGACTTCTTAGACTATAAACTTGAATTTTACAAATATGCTTTCACTTCATCCATACTTCTTACAATTAATCGTATGAAATCTGCCACAGACATAGGGCAAATAAAGAACCTTAACACACACAACAGTAGAAGAACATGCTTTTGTAAACTTGACCACCATGTTCCTCTACCATGGCTTCCTTCTCTACTGTGGACATCAGCTGACTAGTAGCAGAGAGAGTAATTATAATGGCTGCTGCTGAAGGCTTAGTATCTATGGGCAGCTAAGCACTTAGTATGGATTATCTCATTTGAACTTTATAAACCTCCATGAAGGAAGTAGTACCGCAAGCTTTATTTATGGGTAAGAAAACAGAAGACAAGAAAGATTAAGAAAGTCTTCCCAAAAGCACAGCTCTAGAATGGTCTGTTCATATGCCATCTGCCCCAGAGGCCTTATTCATTAGGCTTGGCTCACATATGGATCTCCCAGTGTCCTAGAAAGAACACTTAGCCACTTTCCATGTTAGGTACATTAATAATGATAATCAATGCCTTTCAGACCCAACCCATAAAGACAGGGTTGGGTTTATTGACTCATTGCAGTAAGTGGGCCACTGTGATCTACTTTGGTAAGAAGGCATCAGTAAGTTATGATAGGACTTGGGCTTATATTGGGTAAGATTTATCTTAATAAATCTTGACTAAAAGATAGGCAGAACAGAGTGAGCCTAAATCTGCAACTGGGGAGGAAAAAACCCCAATTACGTGCATAAACCCAGATTGGGAGAGTGTTTGGTCATATTTGCGGTTTGGATAATGTTCTTGACTGAATTGCAAGTCTATGACGTGCTCCTGCCTCTACTCTGACCCATCACAACCATGGTGGCCTTCTCTAATGTTGGTGTTCCATAATATTATTGATGGCCAACAGAGCACCAGGGACTAGCTGACAGCTCCAGGCTCCTCTGCTGCTTTTCTCTTGTTCAAGAGTGGCAGGACACAGTCGCAGAACTCTTACTGCTGCAGCGACTGCACTCAGTCCTTGAAGGTATCAAATGCAATTTAAATCCTCCCAGGAAACACTATGGCCTCGGCACCGATTGCCTGAGGAAAACAGGCAGAGAAAGTTAACTCCCTTATCTTGGTTAACTATCTTCCCTGAGGTCACCAGGTAAAAGATAATGGAGTCAGGCTTAGAAGCCAGGCAACCCTAGCAAGATCCCATATCCTCATCAGCCCACTTGGACCACTTGTCAGTGACTGAGGTGAGAAGTAAATAAAGAGCGCACTTGAACTTGACTGCTGAAGCCTTTGCTTGCTTCTTTCAGCTCCAAGATTGCCCTGCGCTTGGGCAGCAGTGACACTCAAGTAGAGGAAGTGAAGACTACTCAGGTGAGCAGTCACCTGATAGACCACCTCGCCTGTCCCCTGTGCAACCGGCTGCGTCTGCACTCCTTCATGCTGCCCTGCCACCACAGCCTGTGCGAGAAGTGCCTGCGGCACTTGCAAAAGAATGCCGAGGTCACCGAAAACTTCTTCATCCTCATCTGCCCAGTGTGCGACCGCTCGCACTGCATGCCCTATAGCGACAAAATGCACCTGCCGGAGAACTACCTGCGCGGGCGCCTCACCAAGCGCTACATGCAGCAGCATGGCTACCTCAAGTGGCGCTTCGACCGCTCCTCGGGTCCCATCCTCTGCCAGGTCTGCCGCAGCCAGCGCATCGCCTACAAGCGCTGTGTCACCTGCCGCCTCAACCTGTGCAACGACTGCCTCAAGACCTTCCACTCGGACGTGGCCATGCAGGACCACGTCTTCGTGGACACCAGCGCTGAGGACCAGGATGAGAAGATTTGCATCCACCACCCGTCCAGTCGCATCAGTGAATACTGCCGCAATGACAACGAGCTGCTTTGCACCTTCTGCAAGGTCGCTTTCCACAATGGCCATGAGACGGTCAGCCTCATAGACGCCTGCTCCGAGAGGGCTTCCGCTCTCTTTAGCGCCATTGCCAAGTTCAAAGCAGGTCTGGGGACATTCTTTTCCCCATCCAGAGTAATCGTTAGCTCAGGAACTGATGAAGAAGATGGCATGGGGTGATCTGTTAGTGCCAGCATTTCTCCCACCTTATGGAGAAATCCAAGCACTGGGAAACACTGAACTAGCCTGCAAGTCATTGTCAGGGTGTCCCCACTGGACAGCTATCACCAGTCACTTACCCTCACTGTGACTTGGTTTTCTCATCTACAAGATGGGGATAAGAGTACTAACTCCCTCACTAGGCTATTGTGAGGTCTCTACATAAAACTTGAAAAAAATAGTAATAATAACCAGAATATAATAGGTGCATAACAATCCTGTAATCTTAGTTTGAATCTTCATGACTGGCCTCGTCCTCCCATTTAGAAAATTAAGACTGATCCTGCAGTATCCTGAAGTTCTGTGGATCTTTCTAAGAGGTTTTTGTCTCTGAAGTTAGAATTTTTTTTCTTCTCCTTCCTCCTCCTCCTCTTCCTCCTCTTCCTCCTCCTCCTCCTCCTCCTCCTCCTCCTCCTCCTCCTTCTTCTCTCTGTCTCTCTCTCTCTCTCTCTCTCTCTCTCTCTCTCTCTCTCTCTCTCTCTCTCTGCATAGTGAAAGGTTTGGGCTACTGTTGAGAATTGTGTCCAATTTATAAATCCAGGAAATTTTCCCCAGCATTTAAGAAAACAAAGTAAATGAACCAGTAGCAAACACATAATAACAAGAAGACTCACAAATAGCCAACACATCTGGACCACAGATGCACCTGCTGCATGTCTACTCATGGTGTTTACATTGGCAACATATCACCCAGCAGGCTTTCTATAAGGGAAAAATCCTAGTTCCTACAATGGAGCCACGTACAATATTATTTCATAGAATTCTGTCAAGGATCCCATAATTTCTGGATGTGTCTTCACCTGGTTAGACATAAAGACCCTAGGGATCCTTTTAGGGAATAGCTCCTCATGTAGAGGCTGACTTTGCATAGGCCTCCGGAACACATCGAGTCCAATTTCAATAATCTTACAGCACAGGAGTTAAAATCCCCTCCATGGATAAGAAATGTGTGATTCAAAGAAATGATCAGCACAGGTAGCTGGTAAGTGGTAGACCCCATCTATCTGACTCCAATGTCATATTAATTCCACAGCATTCATTTGACAACAGACTCTGTGTCTGTTGAATAGTGACTAGAATCTAAAAATAAAAGATTGGGAGAGGACCCCACTGCCACCTGAGGTCTATGACCTTAAGGAGTGGCCATAGCCAATGGCTGAAATGTACCAAATCAAGCTTTGCCCAAAAGGCAACATTTAGGAGTAGTCATTGGAAATTTTATTCTTCCTCTTACCACTACAAAGTTTAGCTTTCCTACAGAGAAAAGTGGAGTCCAGTCACTTTGTGACTCCAGCCAACTTGCAGACTGAAATCTGGAGAAAACCAACATTAATTGTGGTCTTGAGCTTTCAAGCTCAGATCTGAGGCCACAAGTTTGGCTGCTACAAGAGAGAAATATGACAGGGAAGGGTGACTAGCTATAGATGAGGGAAGTAGTAGATAAAGAAGAAGGGATGGAGAGAAATTCATTTCATAAACCTATTCCAGCCTGGTTCAGCCCAGCTACAGGTGTCACTTCCATGGTGCCCATAATGGTTTGCTCCATTTTGCTATGGTTTTATGACATCTGGAGAGATGAAAATCTTAACAGTAATGAACTTGATTGTTTTTCAGTCCGATATGAAATTGATAATGACCTGATGGAATTCAACATTTTAAAAAACAGCTTTAAAGCCGACAAGGAAGCCAAGCGAAAGGAGATCAGAAATGGATTTCTCAAATTGCGTAGCATTCTTCAAGAGAAAGAGAAAAAGATCATGGAGCAGATAGAGAATCTAGAAGTGTCCAGGCAGAAGGAGATTGAGAAGTACGTATATGTCACAACCATGAAAGTGAACCAAATGGATGGTCTGATTGCCTACTCCAAGGAAGCCCTGAAGGAGACAGGCCAAGTGGCGTTCCTGCAGTCTGCCAAGATCCTGGTGGACCAGATCGAGGATGGTATTCAGAGCACCTACAAGCCTGACCCTCAGCTACGGCTGCATTCATTGCACTGTATACCCTTGGACTTTGCCGAGCTCTCCAGCGCCATCCATGAGCTCTTCCCCATGGGTCCCAAGAAAGCAAGCTCGTCTTCGGGGGACTTGCAGCCTGCCCCCTATCCCGGGCACTCAGAAATGATGATTGCCAGAAAAGTCACTTTCAGCACCCACAGCTTTGGCAATCAGCAGATATATCGGCGAAGTTCCTCCTTATTGTCCGTCAATACCACCGAGAAGGCCAAGATGGGTCTGGAGGCCTATGGGAGAGCCCAGTCAGCTGCACTTGCAAAACCCACGGATGACTTCTATACCTACTGGAGTGCTACAGTGGAAAACCAGCCCACACAGAATAGCAGCAGCTTCCACAACTGGTACTCGTTCAATGATGGCTCTGTGAAGATCCCAGGCCCAATTGTCATTTACCAGACTCTGGTATATCCAAGAGCTGCCAAGGTAAGACAGGGGGCAGGGTACAGGACACAGAATGGAAATGAGTGGTCAAAAAAGGTTATATACCTTTGACCTCTAAGATCGGGTCACTCAAATCTCCCCTTCAGGACTCTTTATGGTCAGTCCATTCAAAAAGGGATAAGTTCCTGAAATCTTAAGCAGCTCAAGATTGGCTTAAACCAAAGGTTGAATTATGTAACTCATAGTCAAGTACAACTGAAAGCCCCACCCTGCTCTGAAGACAGCCTCTATTCAAAGAGAAGCAAGGTACTGTGAAGAGTCTGCTTGGAGATATAATAGGAAGAGTGCAGAAATTAGAGTTAGGAATTCATGGTCAGTATCCAGAGTACCTTCAGGCCTGACCCTCAGCTGTGGCTGCACTCCTTATTACTGCCTGCCCTTGGGCTCCAGCCTATCTGTGGTGATTCCTTTACATTGCTACCTTTCTTATAGAAAATACCCAGATGCTCCATGATTTGGAAAGATTGGAAGGATAACAAAATTCCAACTGTTATCTGCTGAGATTCATTGTTTTCTTTTTTAGGGGGAAGAGAGAGAATGAGTTCTCTCACAGATCTCTATGACTGCCACTGCCTAGCCTAGACATGAGCCCCTCCCCCTTGACCTTCCTTTATTTACTGTTTTGTGGTGCTGGGAGGGGAGCCCAGGTCCTTGCCTGTGCTTAACAAATGCTCTACCACTGAGCTCATCCCCAGTCCTGTTGACCTTCTTGACCTAACATGGATGAATGATCATTCCCTTAACATGTCTTTCGAGCCCAGTTGAACCCAAATTGAATTGCTTATGAGCTATTTTATTTGAATTCACGTGTGACTACATACGATATCAGAGTGTATCTCGCCTCCTCTTAGGGTTCCCTACAGAGTCACTTCCCAGACCAGTCTATGGCCTGCTTCCACGTGGAAGACTACATCTTTCGACCTCATCATCTGAGAATATTCCCAAAGACATTCAGCATCCCTGACATCTAAACTAATGGCTCTCAAACATTCATGTGCCCTGGAAGCCTTGGTAAAATGCAGATTCTGTCCCAGTGGGTTTCAGTGGGGCCTCAGATTCTTGAGTTTCTCAAAAAAAAAAAAAAGGCCAGACACAGCCAAGCTTCACCTTACCATTCTCCTGGGACGTGGCAATCTATATTTTGCAGTCTGTGACCGACACTAAGTCTGACCACGCTATGCTAGGCAGAACATGCCCTCCCAGAGGCTATCAGACACGATAAAGTGTCCCCGACCTTCACAAAAGAGATGCCCACAACTGAGCAACTGAACTCCACTTCAAAATGATACTAAATCAGCGTAGGCGACATCAGCTCGGGGTACAGGTAGATCTCATGTCCCCGTCAACTCAGACTTCTAAGGGAGTCGGTTGGCTATTGCTCCAGAAAGGGTGGTGGTGTCTGCTGTACACTTGGGTTTAGGAAAAGACACCCATGCCACCTACTTGTTGTCCCTGGAAGAATTCAAGGAAGAGGGCTACACAGTACAACCTAGTCAAGCTACTAGCTATCAAGAGACAACACCTAGTTAGATCATCGTATTTGACTTAAAATTATCACCAATCCCTATTTTAGGGTCTTGGACTAGAGTTCATACAGGAAGCACTGGGCTGAGGAATACAAAAGATTAAGTCTATGTTGACATCAAAGCTTTAAGATTTTGGCATAGAAAATATCCTTAAAGTTACTCTCGTAAATTGTTAATATGTATTATAAAAATCCTAGAGATTTTCTAACTCAATTTTATTTTAGAAATCCTCTCCTAAGAAATTATTAAAAATTCGGATGAAGATACATGCTCAAAAATATTCACAGCTGCATTTATTTATTAGACTACAAAATTAGAAATAACCTAAGTGTTCAACCACAGAAGGATTAAATTATTTATGGGGCAGTTTTTAAGGATAGTACTTCACTGAATTTTTAACGATAAGGGAAAATATATGAAATATAATCAGTGAGAGAAAGAAGGAATCAAAGCAAAAATATAATTCAAATTATATGTATTCATATGTGTTCTAAAATTAGGAAGAAACAATAATGAACTAAGTAGATTATGGGATTATGAGTGATAATGATTTTCTTCCTTTATACTTTTTCTGTATTTTCCAAGTATAGATTCAATGAATATGCTTGCTTTGATAATTAGAAAAATATAAGTTAACTTTTGTAAATTTATTTGTAAAATTTGGAAGTCATAAAATATGTTAATTTTATCTCAAAATACTTAAATTTCTTAAAATTTTAATAAAAGCATTAGAAATATGCTTTAAAAAATACTATTATAAAAAATATGCCAGACACCGTCTGCTGGTTACTTGTTATAAATCTCATCCCAAGAGTTGATATTTTATGTTTTCAAGTGTGAACAAATACTCTCCATTATTGGATAAGTCCTTTCACCTCTCTGGGTCATACAGAGGGTTGGACTAGGTAAGTTTTCACTTTCGAGTATTTTGTGGCTCCATTGGCATGGATTCTGATATAAAATGGTAGCTACTTTTGCTAGCAGTGCCAGGACAGCTGTCACCTCCCTGTTGACTGACAGTAACAGAACCCAGAAAAACATTCTTCTGCTCCTGAAATTCATCACACAGCTTCTAAGACTGCTGCACAAGACCTAAACCTAAGCCCTCAGCAGCTGTGGAGATGGGGCCAGCTTAACCTCACTCCACGAAGAGTCGGGGCATAGGAAAGAAAGTGGGGTGGTGTGTGCTAGTACCACAGTGATGTGTTCATTCCTCCCTAGATTTACTGGACATGCCCAACAGAAGATGTGGACTGTTTTGAGATGGAATTCTATGAGCTGGTTTCTACCTCTCCTAACAATGTGAGGACAGAGCTCTGCGGACAAATTCGGGACATAATGCAGCAGAATCTAGAGCTACACAACCTGACCCCCAATACGGAATATCTGTTTAAAGTTAGAGCCATCAATGAAAATGGTCCTGGGCAGTGGAGTGACGTCTGTAAGGTACTGTGCACATTGTTTCTAGGTGGGTTTTCTTGATAGGTTCTGGATGTGGCCTTATTAGGATAATCATAAGACTATCGTCCCTCTGGGTTTACAATACTTGTAACTCGGGACCAAAGTGAGGGCTACTGACTTTGCAAATGAGGCCTGAGGATTCTAAGTTCTGCTTCGTTCAAAAAAAAATTTCTTCTAGGTGTTGTGTTAAGGTGCAGAGATTCAGAGGAAAATGTGCACAATCCTTGTCTCTGCGGTGCTCAGGGTCTAGTTAACAATTGGTGTGTGAGAAAATAATTACAGTGTGAGGAAAATTAAAAATGGGTGCTATCCCCAGGCAAAGATATGGTGCAAAATTTAACAAATAAGTATAGGATTTACCCCCCTTCACTTCCCCTTTCTCCCTCCCTCCCTTTTTCTCCTTCCTATATCTGCTTCTCAGTAACTAAATGCACCATTTGGGGCCAGTCCTGAGTTTCTGCTTCCTTAAACTCAACTTGTGTGTGGTTTGGGATCGTCTTGACCCAAAGTCTGTGGGATCTTAACTCCAATGCCTAACAGCATCTGACTAGCCGTACTCTGTCTGCCTCCTTGGTTAGAGGTCTCAGGGAAAGAATCCCCTGGATTTCTCCCTCTGATGATTAAGGGCAAACAGGAGATTGGGGTGGAGCTACCCCAAAGGCCAGCTCTGAGGTTCACTCTCTGCTTCTGGAGCCCAACACCCTCATACCCTCCTTTCCTCCCACAGAGGTCAGACCCTTGCACCAGGGGGCAGTAGAGGAGGGGGCCTTCCTGGACACTTCTCCTGTGCTCCACCCAATCTCAGTGTTTGTCGGTCATTCGCACCAGAGCCTATCTCCCTCCTGATACCCTTCTCTTCAGAGCATAGAATTCTACCCCATTCCCTGGTGTGTCCTATGGACCATACCTATGGACTTTCTCTTTAATCTAATTCCATCTGCCTTTTCAGCATTCAGGAATCCCTCAGAAATGCCTTTCCCATGAAGGACACTCAGTGCTGCTACTGATTTTTATAAAATGTATCATCTTATAAAATCTATCACCTGTCACTTCTAAATGATAGGCACAAAGATGTGTAGAGATAGAAGTATGTCATCAGCCTACCGTCTCACCTTCTAGCGCTTTCTCAGGTGGACACTTGGTGGTCCCCTCCCCTCACACTGTGAACTCCTTGAGAACAAAATTCAGTCCTAATTCATCTTTCTTTCTCCCACAATGCTTACCACAGCAGTATGCATATAGCAGATTCTTAATGGTTATTGAGTGAATATATGAGTGAAAATGTGACCAAACAAATGAATCTAAGAATGAATGTCTGAATTAAAGAGTAAAGAAATAAATTGATAAATAAAATTAATAATTGCACAGTACCACAAGATGCCCGAAAGCTAAATGTTTTATACAATCAGTCAAAAAATAACATTCTTCTAAAATTGTGTTTATGCGATTAATTTACCCTCCCTGTAAGAGAAGGAAATACATTCCCGGTCCTTTGCTTTTTAACACAATATCTAAATGAGCAGAGCCCTAATTAATGAGGTTTTCTGGAAGCTTCATTTTTATCTGACTTGAGGAGCTGCAATATAGATTTTTCCTTCAGAAGTAATTCTTCCTCCTTCTTGTGGTTATATTAGCATTCCAAGGGAAACACTGGTTTCCTTAACATTTGTCATGATTTGCATAAGTAAAGGCTTCAATAGCAAATGAAAATAAGATGGTGTGTTTGAATGACATTTATAAAGCTTCATAAAAGTAATGACTTTAGCTCTTTCCTATAAAATCGAAATTTTTTCCTTTGGCATCAGTGCTATGTGGGTATTTCTGAAAGGTTTCATTTAAATGCTACAAAGAGGCACCAGAACCATTTCTTATCCAAAATGCAATGTTTCCATCGTATGTGCTTTTGTAAAAGAAGTGAAATAACACCTTTTATATTTGATTTGCATAGTCTAAGACTCATTGATTTTTTTAAGAGTTTTTTTTGGAGTGTAGTACATGCAGCAAGAAAAATTACCTTTAAGGCTTTTTAAAGTCCCATTTCAAGGTCAGCTCTGTGTCAGTGTAAGTTCATTATCACTATTCATCCCCAACACTCAGAAAGGAAGGAGTTATTGCTTCCACTATACTGCTGAGGAAACTGAGGCTCAGAGAGGGAAAGTATCTGACCATGTAACATGAAGGAGGACTTGAGTTCAAATCTAGGTCTGTATGCAAAGCCAGAGTTCTTTGGCCTCCTGTATCATAACCTGGTACAACTAAGTCTAGGGCAAGGTGGGCTCAGCCCTGAGGACAGAGGACCTCACTTCAAGAGAATGATGTCAAAACCAACAGTGAAAGCTGAACTTCTATTTTTTGAGAGGCACAAACATGCCCTGGAAAGAGCATGGGATTGGGGCTCATTTACCTGGGTCCAAGTCCAACTACACTAGGTTGCTAGTTGTAGGAGGATGGTTGCCATGATGGTCTTACTGATCTGTCTTTGCCCATGGTCTCCAGCTAAGAGCCTCTAGCATCAAAGAGCCTAATGGTTTATTTTGAAGGGATAAAGAACATGTCCTGAGGTAAGTCATCTGTCCATTGGCCTCACTTTTTCCTCTTCATCTTCCTTTCATCCTCCACATAGCTGCTGACCACTGTTCTCATGTTATCATAGCCTTACTTTTTCACTTTCTCTCTCCCACTTTAAATCTCAACTAATGCCCTCGAAGTCTTCCCATGAGAAATCTAACTGCCTATCTGTGTATTGGTTTCTTTTTGCTGCTGTAGCAAATTAATGGCTGAAACCACATAATTTTTTATCATATAATTCTAGTTTTCACAAGTCCCAAATGGGTCTCACTGTGTAAAGCCAAAATATCAGCTGTGTGCTGCCTTCCTTATGAGGAAGAATTCATCTCCTTATCTTTCCCAGTTTCTAGAGGCCACCCACACTCCTTGACCTGTGGCTCCTTCTTGCATCTTCAAAACTAGCAACACTGGACCCACCCCCAGACATCCACACACTCACAGCAGCTCCAGGCCCTAAAATGAAACCTAATGTCTTTGCATTCTCTGTCTACTTAGGGTTTCATTGTTTTGCAAAGAGCTCCTGAGCTTTCATATAAGCAGAATCCTTCTGGACCCTCCCTACTTACTCTGAAGACGAGCTTGAGCCCTGGAATAAGTATAATTTAGGCTCTAGCTGGACATGATTTTTTTTCTTTTGAACTTCATATGCATAGGGTTTAATTAATCACACACCTCAGTTCATGGCTTATTATCAACACTGATCTTGACAAGGCTCTTTCCTTATTTCTGTGATCTATTTTGTGACAGTCATTCCAATATGCTTTGCGTGTATCTTTTGATCGTATATGCTCTTACAAAATGTGCATTGTCTTCAATGTGTCATTAATTTACGCAAATAGCACTGTGGTACATATCTCATTTTGTTTCTTACCCTTTTTGCCCTAAATACTAAGTTTCTAGGCTCCATCCATGTCATTATGGGCATTTTGTCCCCTACTCCTGATGCTACCTCATCCTTCATAGGGTACATTTGTTTACTGCATGTCACCTGTCCATTCAGCCAGGACAGACATGCAGTGACCTCCAATCAATGTTGCAGTGAACAGCCTTCCACATGACGCCTTGTGTGGTTAGGATGGGCTGTGAACCCTTCTCTGGGTTATTGCATGAGTTTGCTATGGCTTCTGTTTCAAAGTGCTACAGATTGGTTGGCTTAGTCAACAGAAGCTTACTTTCTCAAAGCTCTGAAAGACCAAGATCACAGTGTCAGCAGGGTTGGTTTCTCCTGAGGCCTCTGCCCTTGGTTTAAAGATGGCCGCCTTCTCACTGTGTCCTCACGTGGTCTTCCTCAGCACATGCATCTTTGCTGTCTCTGTGTGTCCAAATTTTCTCTTCTGATAAGCACACTGTAAGGTGAATTAGAACTCACTCTAATGACCTCATTTTTACTTTATCATCTCTCTACAGGCCCTATCTCTCTTTCATATGGGGAATCTAGATTTAAAAAAAGAAAAGGCATGAAAGCAGAAGGGGGGCTCTTGAGTGGAAGGACTCCTGGGGGAAAAAAGGAGACAAGAGAGGATGATGAGGGTAATATTATTTGAAGTACACAATATGCAAATTTTAAAAAGGAGAACTGAAAAAGCAAGTTCCTGAATTGCCCTCAAGGTATTCTTCAAGTTAGAACTGAAGGTGTTGTCCTGGGATTCTGCTCAAAGGTCAAATTTCTGGACTGAAGATGTCACTCAGTAATGGAGACTTGTTAGCATATGTGTACCCTGAGTTCCATCCCCAAAATAAAACCAAAACTAGAAAGATTTAATCTCTCCTGCTGAAGTATTTGTAGATGAAATGGTATGCTTTAAAATGCTCCAGGAAAGTAGCAGTGGCTGGGGGTGGGAAAGCAAGATTTGGAAAATACTAAAGGCGGGTGATAAGTTCCCTACGCTACTCTCTCTACCATTATGTATACTGGGATATTTTCCTAATGAAAAAAATTAAATAAAATGAAAAATAAATAAAGGCCCTATTTCCAAATAGAATCACATTCTGATATACTGGGGTTTGGGTCTTGAAAATATGAATTTTGGAAAGATACAATTCAGCCCATATCTGATATACACCATGAGTGAGATTTCCAGGTCATAGAGTAAATGAATACTTAATCTGACCACATTCATGAATACTTCCATAAGGCCACACGTGGCACACACTTCTAATCCCAGCTACTCTGTGTCTAAGGTCAGCCCCGAGCAAAACACATGAGACCCTACCCCAAAAAATAAAGCAGAAATGGCTGGGGGCATGGCTCAAGTGGGAAAGCACCTGCATATCAAGCATAAGGCCCTGAGTTCAATTTCAAGTACTGCCACCCTAAATAAGACTTTCATAAAGAACAGATGAGCATCCCTATGTACTAAACCCCACTACATTTCACAAGATCTAGCTTTCTACAATTTTGCTAGTCCAATGGATATAAAGTGATATCTTCTTATTGTTGTAACTCTCATTTCAATTGTAATACAGCCTGTTAAAATCCTTTGCCCACCTTTCTATTGCAGTTTTCTTTTTCTGTGTGATTTGCAGGATGTCCTTACACATTCCAGGTGATGGTTTTAGACATTGCTAATATTTTCTTCCCATCTGACATTTGTCTATTTGCTTTGTTCATGAAATAGCAGAAATTTTCAACTTTGGTGGAACCAAAGTCATCTGTTTTTTCCTGATGGTTTGACCTTTAGAAGTTTTGTGTCAAATCTCCTTCCCTCAATTTAGATTACAAAGATAATCTATATATTTATTTTATTAAATTAACAATTTCACCTCTAAAACCATCCACCAAGTGTCTCTTCTCCATTAGCATGTAATAAAGGTTCCTGTATATTTACATGGTTTGTCCCTGAGTTCTCTGTAATATTCGTGCATCTGTTCTTACCACACTGATTTTACAGTTTTTAATACTGGCTCTGTGCTAGGTCGTGATAAACTGCTAAGTATCTCCATTACCTTCCTTTCTTTTTAAAGATCTATTTAGCTAATCATGGAGATTTATTCCTTCACATGATTTGGAGTAAGTAAATTTCACTCTTTTTATGAAATCCACTGGGAAGACACTGATCTTTAATTAGGAGACAAATAACATTTTTGTAAATATTTCTGAACATTTATTCAAACTATCTTATGTACACTTTACTAGGGTCTTTAAGTTTTTTAAATAAAGATATTATGTATTCCTGGTTAAAGTAGATAGTTTAGAGATCTAACATACAGCATGAGGACTATAGTTAATAATATTATATTATGTAGTAGAAATTTTGCTAAGCTTTTAGATGCTTTATCATAAACACAAAAGGTAATTGTGTGACATAATGTGATAAATTAATTACTTTCAATATCGATTCTCACTGTCTATCTGTTACAAAACATGTCAACCTTAAACATATTCAATAAGAAAAAGTAAATAGTTTAGATTTAGTTGATACTATGAGTGCTATAAGTTTTATATAATTTCTAGTAGATGGCTAGTTTAGAATAAAAACTATTGCTCTTTGTAGATTAATCTTGATTCTAGCAATCTTTTAAAACTGTTTTATTATTCTGAGAACTTATCTGTTGATTCTTTTTGTTTTTCCAGGCATATTATCCTATCATCTATAAATAATGATGGTTTTATCCTTTCCTTTTAATCTTTGAACCTTATATATTTTTCTATTACATTATTTTTTTTCTTTACCAATAGTTTTGGCTAGGGCCTTGAGTCATGCACCGAATGGTAGCAGTTGTACCTTGTCATAGTCCTGATCTTTAAGTTTCTCCTCTGAGCTATTTTTTTCATTTAGTTTTTGTAACATATAATCCTACTTCTAAGCTTCTGAGATTTTGTGCATAGTGAACCTTGGTTGTTTTACTTTTTTTGGCAGTACTTGAGATAATAATATGATTTTTCTCTTTTAGGCCATTATTAATGAAATGAGTTACAATGATTTTTTGGGAGCTGGAGATTAAGCTCAGGGCTTTGTACTTGCTACAACTGAGCTTCAACCTTAACCCACAGTGATTGACTTTTCTGACACTTAACTCTACTTGCATTCATGGGATAAACCCCATGTGATTGTCATGTGTTATTTTTAATATACTACTTTAATAACTTTTTCAGTCAGCTCATATTTATTTTAGATTACTGCATCTATGAGCATAAGTGAACATGGCTTATAATTTTTTGCTTATATTATTTTTACCTGGTTCTGGAATCAATATTTCACTAGCTTAACAAGAGAAACTGGGAGGCTTTTGCTCTTCTCCTATTTTCTAGGCCAGCTTTGTCTTAAAAGTTTAGTAGGATGTATTTGGAAAGCAATCTAAGCCTGGAGCCTCGGGGCAAGGAAGAGAGGCCAACTATCATTTCAATTTCTTTAGTAGTTCAGAATCTTCTTCTGTCTCTGTTCTATCTGAGCATCTTGTTCATAGAACATCTCCACCCTCTCTGCCCTGTTCATATGTCACACAGTCTTTGTTTTTGAAGAACCTGACTATAGTTTGAGAAAAAAACTCAAATTCTCTATTTTTTGGAGTCAGTTCCTAGCCCCACATACCCCTTCCTTGTTGCCCCACTGTCTCTGTGTACATATCTTATTTACTTTTATCTCTCTGTGTTATCTCCATTTTTACCCAGCAGTGGGTAATGCATTGTCATGTATATAACATGACATTTACCTTGCATTAGGTCCTGTTTTCTCTAAAACCAAAAATAAATTTTATAAAAGTAAAGAGTAAAATGCTAACAAGTATCTACAATTTTGCCCTTTCCCTTGGTATACAAATATTGAAGGTTAAAGGCTTTTTGTACATAGAGACTTTGTACTTTGTAGCAACATTTCTTTTCATCCTCCAAGCTCCACCCTAACCCACTTGCCCCCAAAGTCTGTTCGTCTCTAAGAAGAGAGCATTGACCAGGAGAACTCTTTCATCCCTGGGTACCAACTTTATTCCCTAAATGCCTTCTCAGTAAATATGGATTGGAGGGGTGGGGGTGAAGCTGCCACCAGAGAAATGGAGAAAGCCACCACCTGCAAGGAGAAGCACATATAAGCTGAGTCTGTGAGGTTTCACAGTGCCTTTCTTAGCCTCCGTGCCCTGTGCCAGGTAGCGCTGACCGTTCACTGATCAAAGATAGTATGAAGCATTCCTGCCTGTGTCAAAGGGCAATAATTGAGAGTTTCAAATTACAGTCTATTCCGTAGTCTACTTTTCTAAGAACCTTGTCTTTCCTATAACCAGTGTCAAGTCTACAGGGATGAAAGACAGTCATTTCCCCAACACCCCCATCAAGGTACTCCCAGTCTGGTAAGATAATTCAAACACATTAGCTGATATTTATACAATGAGCTGTGATAGAAGCAAGCCAGAGGCTAGGGAAAGTGCAGGGGCTGCTGTATGGCGAAGCCCACCTAGCGTTCAGCTCCATCATACTATCAGCACTCAGTTACGTGAGCTGCCTGAAGGAACATAGGACCTGGTCCATGAAATCACAACCATACCACATGGTGGCTGTGGAACTTTGTGGAAGTTGTTTGGTCCTCTGAGCTGAGCCTGGGTCTCCACCTCTGAAGTGGGCTCATAGCACCGGTTTCATGGGGTTGTCAAGAAGAGTTAACCAGATGATATGGGGTAGGGGATCCTGGAAACTGTTGTTCCTCTGTGATTGGTGCCATGGCTCTTTGCTTCTGATTGCAGGTGGTCACACCAGATGGCCGTGGGAAGAACCGAGCTAAGTGGGGCCTGCTGAAGAGTATCCAGTCAACCCTTCAGAAGCGCTTCTGAGCCCCATCAGCCCCTCGGAGATGCACTCTAAATAGACATATATATATACACACACATATGCATATGTATTTTTCTCACCATATTCTTCAAGGAGGTTGTAGATGAATGTTCCCAGGACCTCTGAGCTTTCCAACAGGAGTCTTCTAAGCAGCAATAAAAGGAAATGCCTGATACCATGACCTGCTGTTTGTTCATGATGATGAAACAAAGATTCAAAACAGTCAGCAAGTCTCTAAGTCTCTATCAGCTCAGGTCTAGCCCTAGGGGCTCAGAATTTCATGGTGCCAGGCATGGACCGTGCTCATGCCCCTGAGGGATAAAAAGAGCACTAGGCCAGACTGAACTAGCTATCTATTTCAATGTTGAGCAGCCAACATCGTGACACTGTTCTTCATGATTACTGAGCCTAAATGTGTCTTCTTCCCGTGATGTTCATCCCATGGTCTAAGATGTGCCTGTAAGTCACAAAGAAGGAAGACCCTCTCTCTTCTCCATACCCTCCCATGCCCCAAAGCAAAGCAGGAAGAGCAGAATGACTGCCTGTCTGTATTACAGGATTACAACAATGGATGCCACAGAGCTTTGCCATGATCCTGTACCATAAGTGATGGCTTGAAGGTCACCATCAGGTTTGGTACTACCGTGTAATCACGTCTGTAAAAAGCTTCAGAGTCATCATTAGGGGGAGCAAATTAAATGCTATGCCTGCAGAGATTTTACTACTGATAAACTAAATTAAAATTTAAAAAATTGTGAGTGGACAATATGAATATTGCATTATAATGATCACACCTACTCTTGGCACCAAAATAAAAAGACTGGGCTACAATTAAATAAGTCATAGTGCCTTGATCTTGCTTCTCTAGAGAACACAAACTTGCCTTCAGCTGGGTTCTCTGTGAAGCTCATTGAACCAGTAGCTGAACCTTCTACCAAAGATAGGTGGATTTCTGAACAACATAGAAACCCCTCTGCATATTTTTGGTCCCTGAAGTTATGATCCACATGGAAACCCCACTCTCAAGTCCATCCTTGAGGTACAAACATAGATATGCAGATTAGTACTGTGTGGGTAGGCTAAATATAACCATAAGACTTATAAATGTCCATTCAACGTATTTGTGAATATAGTGTTGACAGGCAGCAGTGTTGGTGGTTCACCATGTTGAGCCGTGTCTCTCTGTGTGCTTACGTAGTTCAACATCTCAATAGCCTTTCTTTAGAGAAGACTTTATAGCTATGGAAATAGATAATGAGCGGCAGAATCCACTTGAAAACATCTCACAGTTTGCTAAAATAGCTACTAGTGAACGGTACTTTTCCTGCCTTTCTCCTTTTTTTGATATCCTTTCTAGATTCTCTCTTTCATTTAGCACATTGGTAATGAGATGTAGAGACTATGGGACACAGCAGTGAATTAAAAAGACACAGGCCCTGTCCCATGGATCTCAAAGTCTAAAGAGATCAAGTAAGTAAAGGTATAAACACGTTTGTAAGTGCTAGGAAGGAAAGAGGCCTGGGGCTGGGATGCATCAACTCTAAAGAAGGGAGTCACTGACAAGCTCCCCAAAGAGGGGAAAGAAAGCTACTCTCTCAAGAATGGGAAGGGCCAGCCATGAGCAGAGAAAAGCAGTCTGCACAGAAAGACAGCAGGTGCCAAGGCCCTGAGGCAGGAAAAGGGTTTGCATGTTCAAAAATCGGCACACCTGGAAGGGTAAGTGCAGGAAACAAGAGATAGAGGGTAGGCAAATGGCCTTGGCAGGACCTGAGACCATCACCAAGGGTGAGTGACTCAGAAAGCTGAAGAAGGACATGAAGCAGGCATGATCAGTCCCTACTTACATTTTAGTAGCATTGCTTTTGCTTCTGTGGGAAAATGAGTTGTGGGAACTGAGAGAAGAAGTGAGAGGAGTGACAGCAAAGGCACCTGTGCTGGGCAGGGATTTGAAGAAGAACTAACAGCCCTCTCCAACTAATGGGGTGCATATGTGGGTGGGAATGAGGAGTCAGAATGATGCCCAAGACTCTGTAGTATGGTGGATGGACATTCCAGATGGGGGAATTGACCATGTTTCAGTGAAATTCCAGTGTGAAGTGCATGAGGAACAGCCAAGTAGAATCTAACAATGGCAGCTGGATTTTCTATCAGTGGATGGAGTCAAGAAAGTTATTTTAACAGAGAAAACTGAATATAGGGAATTGGTTTAAAGGGTATTGGAGGACTAGGGACATAAAAGGGTGCACACTGGGATAACAGAGAGCAACTGAAGAGAGCCATTGTCACCCCTAGGGCTGGGGGAAGGAAGGAGAAAGGGTGGGATTACCAGAGGCAGATGCTCAAGAGGAGGGGCTCTGAGCAGGGATTCATCTCTCTGAGGAGGGGTCACCACCTGGCTGGGCTTCCAAGGGGCAGTGCTAGGAACATAGGAGACAGGTAGGAAACTGAGAGAAGCAGCTTTACTGTCACTTCTCCAGGAAGGAGTGCTCCCAGTGATGCCATCCAGAAAGGGGAGCAAACACAGGGAAGCACTTTCTGTTGGGATGAACAATAAGGGCAGCCATGTTAGGACCAGACCCCCCACCCCTTACAGGTGGCTTACTGGAAACTCCCCATCAGAACCCAAAGACTGACAAAGGGACAGTTGTTAACCTTTATCTCTGGGTGGGCACCAAGGACGGTTGAGCAGATGAGTAGCCTAACCACAACTTATCTTCCTTGGTTGCCAGCAACAGCACTCCTTGGAGACCCACAGGAAAATTTTTCCTACCCAGTGACCTTCCTGGTACTTTTCATCCAGCTCCCCCTCTATCTACTCCAAGTCTATATACGGCAGTGAGCTCTAGTCCTCTTGCTGGAGACCCCCCTCCGCAGGCTCTTTCCAAAATAAAGCCTGTGCTGGTATTGAGCCTATCTTTCCATGCCTCTCTTCGGTCTAACCCTTTCCTTCTCCTCCTTCCAGGCTTCTGGGCTTTCTCTGGTGTCCCTGAGTAGCAAAGCCCAGCAGGGTCAGTGGGCAAAGGAAAATGTCATCTGCAGAGTCCCAGTGTCACCGGCTAGTACGCAAAGGCAGCCTTGGGGCTGAGAGTCAACAGCTTCCTAATCAGCATAATTAAACAAGATTGGAGGTCAAAAAGAGAACTCTGGGCTGTGGACAAAAACCTGGGGATCATCAGTGGACATTTCTGTGTCATTCTGGAACAATAATGATCCAACATGATCTAGCAATGGTAGACCAGAAAGGCACAAAGCCAGTTCCTGTCTTCAGGTGGCTTCCCTACCATATAAGAACAACTGAAAATCAATTAGGCACTTGAACATGAGACTTTGCCTTTAGTGTCACATTCAGATGGGCATCAGAATCACCAAGGAACTTTTAAAACACAGCGACTCAGGCCCCCTGATTAACTTCTTCAGGGCAGAGCCTGAGTGTGTGTGTTTTCTAGAAACCTCTGAGCAATTCTGATCAGCAGCTTTTTCCCAAGCCAACAAGCACTGGGGACCACTAGATGGTGACCCAAGGTGTTGGAAGATGGTTCCTGATGGTGTTAGGACCAGAGCTAGGTTTTGAAGACTGGGCAGGGATTAGATCAGGAGAAGGTGGGAGGAGACTCATGAGAGGTGAGTTTGCACAAGCCAGGGAAGCAGGAAAGAAGGGAAACAGAGAAATAGTTCCCAGAAAATGCTCATTGATATGAGCTGTTAAACCTCAGGGCTTTCCACCTCAGGACTCCCTCTTTTGATTTTGACAGGTGGTGAGAAGCAGGGTTTGAGGGAAATGTTGATGTCATTTAAATCATTGCTGTCATTTCCACAGTAGTGGAAATGAATAAATAATGGATAAATAAATGGATCTCAGATTTCACCAATGTGCATCCAGTTGATATTATGGAAAGAACCTGAGTGTAATCTGGGAGCCCTGGAAGAAAGGAAAGCAGAACCCCAGACTGGGCAGGGGCCACACACAGGGGATAAAGATGCTGTGATCCTAAGGTTGTCAGAGCCCTCCTGCCTCTGCATCTCCCTCCTTCTGTCACAGCTGTGGCTTCCTGAGAAAGCCATCTGCAGCACTGGCCCCCTCTTCCCCAGAGGGAACACACACTGGACGTCACAAGCCCGTGTGCACTCTCACAACAACACACACAGTAGCTCATGTGCACACATGCCTGCACCCACAAACACGTCTGCAGTCACTGCCCCTAAACCATATTGATATCTGTGATAGGAGGCAGGAAGAAAAGGGCTGGCATGGTGAAAGAGTGAAGAGTGGGACATTTTAATGTCCCCAGGTCCCAAATGATCTGGGAGGCCATTTGGGTTGAAGTCAAGGGATTTCTTTGCCAATGAACCAACAGAAGAAACAGGTTGGGTAGAAGTGCTCAGAAAAGCTAATACATTCCAAGGCAAATAATTGCTAAACTTTAATGAAAGATGCAATTTGGAGAGATGCCCAAGTCTCATGTTACCGCATAGCCAAACTGGGCCCAGAAGCTTGAGTTGTTTGTACTGAGTTGTAGACGTTTGCAAAATGGGTTCGACACAGAGTTCCCCAGATGCTGTGAATCTGTGCGTGGCTTCATTTCCATTCCTTTAATTCCACCAGGAGCTATAATTTCTAAATTTTCCTTCAGGAAAAAAAATCATTTAGCTCAGAAATAATGCTTTCTATAGAAAACTGTAGCTGTTTTAGGGCTTATTTCTTTGACTTTTTTTTTTCTTCCAAGAAAGCCATAATAAAGAGAGTCTTTCATCTTAATAAAGCCAGGCACGGGAAGTTTCTCTCTGAACACCATGGCAGACGACAAATTCACTTGATATAAATTGACCGAGAGTGTAGAACCAACCTGGCCCGGCATATGGAGCAGATAAAGCAATTGTGCCCTCCTGGGCGTATGTGCATGAAATGATGGGAGAAAAACCAAGTCTTACCCTACGTGCATCTTGGGGTCTGGGCCAAGTTTCATGAAAGGAGTGGAATATTCCTTAAGTCCTGAAAACAAGGCAATTAGAGG